ACTCGCCATACTCGCATCGCAGGTACGGCCAGCAGCACCACTGCGAACCGCTGCACCGCGCCGCGGCTGCCGTAACCTCGAAACCGCACATGTCAAATCCTTACCAGCCATAGCTTAGCGGCTTAGCTAAGCCAAACCTCACTGTGTTTGTTTACGTGTTGTTTTGCCAGCTCTGCGGTCGTGTCTGCGGTTGATCGTTTGCTGTTGCACGCTATCTTCAGTGATGACGTTTCCCAACCTTCAGCATCCAATGAGTTCCTAGCTGTCTTGCGCTGCGCTTTTTGTCGAGCGGATTTGCCATTTACAGCAATAGAACTGACTGCTTCTTCGTCCGTGCCTAAGAAGCGCACCAAGCCCCCTCGTAGCCCACAATGGAGAAGAAAGCCGCCATCATTGAAAAGGTCCAACGCGGTCAGTCGCAGGTAGAGATAAGGAGGGAGTTCGGAATTTCGAAGCAAACTGTTTTGGACTTCATCAAAAACAAGGCCAAGATCTTGGAAGTGGCTGCCAAATCAACTGGGGCTGGAAAGAATAGTGGGAGCCAGGGTGTTTACCTGAAGCTCGAGGAAGCAGTCGTCGCGTGGCTCGGTGCCATGATCGCTAAGAAAATCTTGGTGTCAGGCGACATCCTGAAGCAGAAGGCAGAGATTTTCGCGCTTCAGATGGGCGTGAAGGACTTCATGTTCAACAATGGATGGCTTCGCAATTTCAAGAGCCATAATGACTTGAAGTTCAAGAAGATGTGCTGGGAAAGCGGGGCCGTCGACGATTCCGTAGTCGCCAAATATCAGGATGAAAAGCTGCAGTCCCTCCTTCAGCAGTTTCCAGCTAATGATATTTTCAACTGCAACAAAACTGGACTGTTCTACAAGCTGCTGCCAGAGAAAATGCTTGCATTTGTTGGTGACCCCTGCCACCACGGCAAGCACAGCAAGAAGCGGCTCACTGTTCTTGTTGGCAACAACATGTCAGGCAGCGAGAAGCTTCCGTTACTACTAATAGGCAAGTCGAAGCATCCAAGATGTTTTAAGGGGGCAGTGACTCTGCCCGTTTTCTATGAAGCTAACAAGAAGGCGTGGGTAACGCAGCAGTTATTCGAAGCATACATGCGCAAGCTGGACAGAAGGTCCGAGCAGCAAAATCGAAGAGTTCTATTGTTTGTGGATAACTGCACTGCACATGGCAACATCAAGGACCTAAAAGGCTATACCGATTGAATTTCTGACGCCGAACACCACAGCTATCCTGCAGTCGACGAACCAAGGCTTGATTCGGAACTTGAAGAATCATTACATATCACGCATGCTCAGCCGCATGGTGCTCTGCTATGACAACAGGAAAAGCTACGCTGTTGACCTCAGGTCTGCCGTCGGCATGCTAGCGAGACCGTGGAAGGGGGTTATGCAAGAGACTCTCCGGAACTGTTTTCGCCACTTGGGCTTCACACTCGACGGCAAGACAGCCGTCTCGCCCCAAATGGACAGTGTGCGTGACGAACTGCCATTCGCGGATGTTGCCTTCGACGATATTCGTGCCTCCCACGTGTCGATTCCAGCCGGGATAACCTTTGAGGGCTTCGCCAGTGCTGACAAAGACCTCGAGCTGTGTGCGGAATTGACCGATGACGAAATCATTTGTCAAGTTACGGAGGATTCCGACGACTCCGACACTGAGAACGAAGCGCCATTTTCTACATAGCCAACGAGCTTCGAGTTGACGCGAGCACGAATGACACTGTCATCGGTGTACAGCGGCAACATATTGTTGACTGAAATTGAGGCAGACATGATCGTAGGCAAGCGGAATGCCGTGCAAAAGAAAACAGGTGACTTCCTTGAGCCCAAGTGCCGACCTATGAGGTAGTGCCGGCCACGTCAAATTTCTTTTTTTTTATATATAAATGGCTGCCACGTAAACGATACATTGGCTGAATTGCAATGGAGATCTTGTACTCTGGCCGTTACCCTCTCTGTCAGCAAAAAATACCTAAAAAAAAGGAGAGTTTTCACGTGTATTCGTTTTTCCGGACTGCCCGATTTTTCCGGACGTTTTCGCGGTTCCTTGAGGGTCTGGAAAATCAGACGTCGAATGTATGCCTGAGGAAGCACAAACACCGAAAAAAAAGTTGAGAAAGCTGTCACGGCAACATTTGCTCGATTTTGTTGCCGAGGCGCGGGCCGCTGTACCTGAGAAGACAGTGGCACGGTCTTTCAAGAGATGGGGCATTAGTAATGCGCCTCATGGCTCGGAGGACGGCGACCTGCAAAGTGGACTGGCTGATGTTGCAGTTGTGCCAGAAGACTACGGTGGACTTCAAGCGGAATGCTGCAACCTGTTTTTTGCAACTGACTTGGAGGAGTCTTCTGATGGTTTTGAAAGCGATTAAAAGCTACAACAAATCCTGGGTCCAAATAAAGTTCACTGTAATAAATTTTTATTTATGCGCAATGCATTTCTTTTTCTGGCGCGAAAATATTGCCGCCATCTAGAACTTTGCTGCCGTTCCGAGATAGCACCCCCCTCCCACACACACTTTGCCAGCAATTTTGACTTCGTTGGGGAGGCGGGGTGCTTGCTCGAAATTTCACGGTAGTTGCTGAACATACATATGGTCTGCCCTAGATTCCAGTAATAATGGCTTTAATTTCTTGGTAACATGCAGCTTGTCAGTGAAGAAACAATCATGAAGGGATGTGTCATTGCAGGCCAAGGTTTCATGAGACTGAACCATAAGGAAGACAGCAGGAATAAAAGTTGGCAAATTTTTATGGTGGTATGGTAATAAGCACTGAACCATAATGCACTCAATTCCCAGTTCAATGAACAACTGAAAAACTTGAGACGCACAAAAGGACACGTCATCTTCCTTATGCCCATGTCTTTTTCGTGTGCCGCAAGTTTTTATGATGTTTCAGCACTAACAAACCCATTCTTACATTCTTTCAATGAATGGCATACAAAGCTGACTGCTACTTATTCAACAAAAATGAGACTGTTGAAATTCATTGAATTATTCTGTGGGTCAAATTAAGCAAGAGGCACACAAAACAACAAAGCAGACCGCCAACTCATATGACAGCATTTGCCTTGACTGTAACATGCCAAATCAAACGTGCACCCATATATATTAGTCGTAGAAAGTAAAGAATTATAGTGCAAATGCCGATGTAGAAATCAAACACACAACTGAACTTTTATTTGAAAAAGCATAGCATCTCTCTCAATTTGGTGATAAGAAAAAAAAAAGATGAAACTTGTAAACTTGCCTTCCAAATAAGTTTTACTAGTTTAATCTGTCACCATAACTTTTAAGCAACACTTTATCACTCAAAAAAGCATGAATATGCTTTCATCCATGCACACAACAGCACATAAGCCCTTAATTTACCATCTGATCCCTAAATAATCTCAAGCGTTATTGTTGCCACCACACCTACACTGGTAACCACTTCACTAACCTGTAATACAATGTGATTGATTGATATCTGGGGTTTAACATCCCAAAACCACCATATTATGAGGGACGCCGTAGTGGAGGGCTCCGAAAATTTCGACCACCCGGGGTTCTTTATTGTGTGTACAAATCTGAGCACACGGGCCTGCACCTGTAATACAATGTGTGCAGCCCTCTAAAATCTCTTAAACATGCAGCACAATTTTTTAATGACAGCTTAGCAAATAAACTAACCCATTCAAATGTGCATTCGTTATCAGATTTAAAGCGGCATGTCATTATTGTCATGCCATGCGTTCGAGCTTGTTCTGTTACTACGCATGATTGCCAGTTTATTTTGCAAATGTCAATGCCACTAACCATAGTGACTCTGGCAATTGCGCTGCTATTTTGGAGCAATGCCTTCTGCTTCATTCTAGGCCCTCGCTGTTAACTTCTGTTCATGACAGGGTGATCACATTGATAACATGAGCGAGTCATGATACAGCTGTCTATGTTGTTACAAATGAGGGTTTAGCTGTAGTTTTGCATTTGATTTCACTACCTAAGCAACTTTTGTGTGCTTTAAAAAAAAGGATTACATTAAAATCAAGCATATACACTCTAACTAGATATAAAGAACCCAGATATAACAAAATATCCGTTATAACAAAGCAAATAAAGAATAGTCTTGCAACAGGTACAGTGCTAGGAATATGCCTGTATAACATATTTTCGGATATAATGAACCTACTTTTGTGTAAGATGCAATTTTGTTATAGTGAGGTTTGAGTGTAAAATATACAATAATTCATTGTGACCTGCCACTTTCATGTTAATATTTTGTGGGGGAAGGATGAGAAAGGGCGAGAGATTACGTCTGTTTGGCTTGTTCTCTGTACTTTAAGCACCACCAAAACAGATGCTGCCCATGATGAAATCCCCGCTAGAGTCACTACAGGAGTTGGAAACATGAAAGATGACCAGTCAAGTTTCAAGATTTAAGACTCATTTAAGGATCAAAATATTAATGGTTTGGCCATGTAGAATCGTATGACACCAATAAGCAACTCTTCTCATTATTATCTGTTCAACCAATAAATTGAATTAGTTGGAGTAAAGTAGCGTAAGTCTACTGTACCTATACCCGCTTCTGGCGCTGCAATAGTCCAATGTTCCCAGTTTTATTACAGCTAGGTTCTACTGAGCTGTAATTCATTATTAGTAACAGATTCGAAAATTTGATGTATATAGAATTTTCTAATTAATACAGATAAGTTAATCATGCCCAAGTGGAAATTGGGGAAAGTTGGCTATGCATAATAAGTTTTGCATAGGACAGCATAAATAAAGAAAGAAGAAAACAGGATGCACGATATACAATGCATCTTCTGTCCCCCTCCTTTCACAGCATAATATAGTGCTAAAATGTTCTGTTAAGTTAATCACTTCTTTCGTCTGGTAGGTCTGTACTTTAACAGCAGATACATTAGTGTGTAGAGTACCATTGTACACATTTGAAAGTCAAACTATAATAAATGGGTCGATGTGAGTAAGAGTGACCTACTTGTTAAGCACTAGGCAATGCAGTATGTCTCCATGTTCTTCAAGGGAGTCGCTCTCCTCAAGCAAGTCAAGCAATTCCTTCTCGGAAACCTTGTCTAGCTGAAGTTGGGAGAGACCCAAGATAGTGGCGTTGCTTGGCTGGTCCACCATCTCACACAGCTCTTCCTCATCTGTGTCGTAAGCTGGTGAGCCCGTATCCCCAACACCACCATACGAGTCCTCCGAGAGTGTTGGCAGCAGCTCCTCTGATTTTGCACTGCTTGGCTGGTCTGCACAACACAGAGAACTACAAATCACATAAAGACTATGCAAGTTAATGAGGCAAATATGGTTCATTGCAACAAAAAAGTGCCTGGCGACGTCTTCCCTTTCGAGAGCATTTCAGCCATCTACCAGTCATGTGCATAGCTGTCTTTTTCACCATTTATGGTACCCTCTTCATGAGGATGGCCACCAGGGGGCCAGGGAGTTCGGATGTGCCTCGCATCAGCTCCGCGGAAAGTTGTTTGGTCTGGTGGAAATTGTGCAGTTACAGCAAACAACTCCTATAATCTCCTGCCTGAAGTTCTCTGGACCATCTAGACCACGACTTCAGGACTGTGAGTACGTTTTGGGGCATTTTATGGCTATTTTGGCGTCGACTGCGTCTCCGCCCAGCAAAGCCTAACGCTAGCGGTGAACAAACGCGGCGGCTCGGCGGTGGCCAACGCCCCCGGCGTTCGCTTCAGAGCCCCGTTGTGGAGACGCAACGGCAATGGAGGTGACCGTGGAGGGTACTGAAATTACCCCTGAAGAATTGAGAACCGCTGACTGGATCACGAAAGTTGGAAAACATGTTAAAGAGCTGTGTGACGCCGCTAGAGGTGACAGACAGGGACGCCAAGATGGCAACGCCCGGGCAGAAAGTGGAGCCGAGCCCGGCGAAGACAGGAAGAAGACGGCGGCTGCGAACGCAGCATACAAAAAGCTGGGGCACAAGATCGCGGAGCGCTCGATTGCGTCGTACCTACCGCGGTGGCCGGCGAACGACTACAAGATAATCATTCGTCCGAAGTGCGGGCTGGCGCTCACAAAAATTCCGAACACCAGGCTCAGTGAGGCGGTGCGCATGGCAGCGCAAATTCCATGGTTTAAGGGACAAGAAAAGGAAGTGTTCATTGTTAACGACAAGCAAGGCACCCTGATTTTCAGCACTCCAGGCATAGACACTGTCTGGAAGGTGACCAGGATTAAGTCTATCAAGATTGAAGGCAAGAGCTATGACGTCACGGCGTACCTCGCGCCGCACGAGGATAGCGGGCGGGGTGTGGTGCGCGGCATCGACCCGAGATTGTCAGTAGAGGAACTGACAGAGGCTTTCGACAACTCAAGGAACCCACCGATACTTGGTGTTAGGAAGCTGGGGAACTCAAGTTCAGCGGTCATCATCTTCAAAAATGAGACAGTGCCCAGGTGGATGTACTCTTACGGCGTACCGCTGAAGTGCGTGCTTTATAAGAAACGATACGAGGTGTGCTACCGATGTGGCCAGCTAGGACACAGATCGGACGTGTGTATCAGCGACCATGTTCGCTGCCGGGGATGCGGAATGACAGCTCCACCCGAGGACCATGCATGTGAGCCCAAGTGTAAGCTGTGTGGCAAAGGTCATCTGACAGCAGATCGGAAATGCAAGGAAGCTTTCAGGACCCCTTATACAATAAAGAAGAGACAGTGGGAGGCCTGGCGGCAAATGGAAGGAGAAGAGCGGAAGGCGAAAGACGCCGATCCACAAACGTGCAGAATGGAAGAGATCAAAGAACGGTCCAGGAGCCGATCGAAGCATCGAAGAGGGTCAAGAGGAAGAGCAGGTTCCTTCCCAAGACTACCGGAAAGACAAGAAGGAGATCTGCCACCAATGACTGGTCCAGTAAACGAGGGGACTTCCGGCAGTGCTGTCCTCAACAGTGGGAGACCCACGTCGCCGAACCGCAAGGTGGGTTGGGGAGATAGGGCTTCCCAGGATAAACGCGATGAAGAAATGTTAGCCATTAAGGAAGAGAATCGCATGCTTAAAGAGCAGCTAGCAATGATGAGTAGGCAAATAGAGGAGCTTCAAATAGCTATTAAGTCGTCTAACACAACACCGGTTTCCCTACCACGAATGCCACAGAATCAAAATATAAAAATGCCGGAGGAGCAGAGCGCTACTCCACCTACAGCGAAAAAGAGGGCAAAAGAAGCGGAAAAGCCCGTAATAGAGGAGAACGTAGCGACAGTGATAGACATGAAAATAGCGCAACTGGAGGCAAACATTGAAGCCAAATCTACCCAGGACGATGAATGGCGTAAGGCCTTCGAGAAACGAATGTTTGAGATGTTTCAAAATCTGAATCAGCAGTTGTATCAGCGGGATAATAAACTTACCGAGGAACTTAAAACAGAATTTGCGAAGAGGGATCGGGCGTATGAGCAGCTCGCCCAAAAAGTATTAGGCAGGCCGATGAATCACCTTAGTGGCAATCATGGCTCACAGATTCAGTAAGAACACCGTTTGGCAATGGAACTGCAGAGGCTTCACGCGCAAGCGTGCAGTTCTGCAGGAATTCCTGAGGAAAGGGGATCGACCGGATGTTATAGCTTTACAGGAATGTGGGAGAAAGGCGACGTTGCCAAGTTATAAATCCTATGTAAGCGAAGGCACGAGTACGCAGGTGGCCACCCTGGTCAGGCGAAACGTTACGGCGGTGCAGCATGACATTGGTAATGCACACATCGACCATGTTCTCATAGAACTAATACCCCCAAAAAAGAAAAACGCTAGCTTGTTCGTATTAAATATATTCAGCTCTCCCAGACAAAGGCGATGCGACTTTGGGGATCTCTTCGCTTCTACGCGACGTAAGAGTAAGAACAACACATTGCTGATCGTCGGTGACTTTAACGCTCACCACACGGCATGGGGATATAAGCAGGCTTCAATTAAGGGCAGGAAATTGTGGGATGACATGCAAACTCATAATCTGGACTTGATAACCGACCCGTTGCAGCCAACGAGGAAAGGAAATAGTGTCGCGGTTGATACCACACCCGACCTTACCCTGACGGGGAGCGGCACTAGTGCCATGTGGTGCAACACAAAAGAGGACCTAGGCAGTGATCACATGATCATAGAAATAGTGGTAGAGGGAGGCCCGGCAACACCTCGGAAACGAAGGGTAGAGGCCGTAAATTGGGACTTTTTCAGGGACCTCAGGGGCGACCCGACTCCCATTTCCGACATTGCCGAGTGGTGCGATGGGGTGTTACGTACTGTTAAGGAAGCCACTGAAGTGGTGGAAACCGAGGAGGACAACGAAGTGGTAGACACGAGATTAGTAAATCTTTGGAATAAAAAGAAAGCTTTGGAAAACCGACTCCAACAGAGGAGATGGGATCGGAGTATCAGGAAACAAATAGCAGCTTTAAACAGGCGAATTGAAGAGCATGCCATCACGCTCACGAAGCAAAGATGGGGGAATGTCTGTCAGGAGATGGATAGAAATATAAGTACGTCCGGGACGTGGCGACTTCTTCGTCACCTTTTAGATCCGGAGAGCACGAAGACAGCGTCTAAACAACAATTGGAACGAATGGCGCACCAATTTGAAGGTACTAGGAAGGAACTCTTAGAAGAAGTTCGGAGCAGATACATTAATCCCGCCGGATCCGAACCTCTCCCAGATTATGGAGGGCGGGAAAACGCAGCCTTAGACACCCCTATCTCCCTGGCTGAGGTGCGAGCGGAGATTAATCGGCTAAGGACTAGATCAGCGGCAGGGCCGGACAGAGTGACTAACAAAATGCTCCGTAATTTAGACGATAGGTCCATCGCTAACCTAGCAACGTACATGCAGGAGTGTTGGGAAAAAGGGACGATACCGCAGGAGTGGAAACTCGCAAATGTAATTTTCATTCCTAAACCGGGTAAAAAACTCCGTTTCGAGAATCTTAGGCCGATATCGTTAACGTCTTGCGTAGGTAAGCTCATGGAGCATGTCGTTCAGACGCGGCTCAATAGGTACATGGAAGACAATGGCATGTATCCGGACACCATGATCGGTTTTCGACCCCGACTATCAGCGTGCGACGTGATGCTACAGCTCAAGGACCAAATTATAGACAAGCCAACGCGAGACACAAAAGTTATCGTGGGTTTAGATGTGGCAAAAGCATTTGACAACATGAGGCACATATCAATCTTGGAGAATCTGAGCTCCCTGAACGTCGGAAAGCGACTTTATGATTACGTCAAGGACTTCCTTTCGAACGGGACAGCCACTTTAAAAATCGGGGAAGAATCCATCGAGGACATTAAATTAGGCAACAGGGGGACACCTCAGGGCTCGGTGTTATCACCCACCCTTTTCAACATTGTGATGTTGAAACTGCCTGAACAGTTAAAGGATATTGAGAATTTAAATCACACCATTTACACGGATGACATAACATTATGGATGAACAAGGGCAGTGACAGCCAAATTAAAGGCTCTCTGCAAATCGCCATTGATAAAATCGTGGAGTACCTGGAGCCCAAAGGACTTAAATGCTCGGCCAAAAAGTCGGAAGCACTCTTCCTCATGCCCGCCGGAAAACGGCGGCTCCACAACAGGCCTGAAGTGGACATCCACTTGTATGTTAACGGCGCAGAGAACCCCGTGGTCGACAGTATCCGTGTCCTTGGACTAAGGATTCAGGCGAACCGTAAGAATTCTGAAACTCTTGCTAGGTTGGAAGCCAGTTCTAATCAGACATGTCGTCTCATCAGACGAATAGCAAACAGGCATGCTGGGATGAAGGAGGCGAACCTTCTTAGATTAGTGCAGACCTTCATAATAAGTAGGATAGTGTACGTGGCACCTTATTTAAAATTAAACCAAGCGGAGCGGGGCAAACTCGACACCATTATCAGGAAAAGTGTGAAAGTCGCGCTCGAACTTCCCCCAAGCACGTCAACTGACAGACTTATGAAGTTGGGGGTATCTAACACACTCGATGAGCTAATTGAGGCTACTGTGACTGCACAACATCAAAGACTACTCGGATCTAAAACGGGGAGAGCAATATTAAAGAGATTGGGCTATGAGCCCACGCGTGAGCAAGCGCGTTCAAAAGACATACCGATACAGATCAGGGACAGGATAAAGATACCTCCGCTACCCAGAAATATGAACCCTAACTTTCACGAAGGCAGGCGTAAAGCCAGGGCAGAGGCATTACAATCTAGGTACACTGGTCGCCAGGACGTCGC